TGAATTAATTTCTCAAACTATGAAGCACAGTTCTGTTAACAGAAGTGATTAAACTGATTTATTTACTGTAGATGCCACTGCATTCTCTTTTCTTGGTATTGTACATATCCAGCACAACAAATTTTCCTGCACCCAGTCTGCAGCTTACAGTAATTAAACTTAGTAAAGGAACCATTAGTAAACCAATAATTTGTAGAAAGAAACCTGCTTTATTTTTAATTAGGCTTTGTGTTTTATGAAGGGACAGTTTTTTAACCAAAGCAATTTTGTGTGTACATACATTCAGAGTACAATATAGAAATTAATTGAGTCAAAAGACACAAATAATTTACTTGGTGTTATTTTTTTTTTCTGACAAGGTTTTCAGCAATTGGGGTATTGCTGTCATGGCAAATTGGTTTACTATAAATGTTAAGGGTGATAAAGTATTTGAAAAAATAAAAGCCCAATGGGAGAGGGAATATTCATGTTACTTTTTGGAATAACAACTTTCAGGATGATATTTATCCTTTCCTTTGATGTGGAATATTGAAAGGTATTTTTTGTAACAGTGTATGTTACAGTAACTAACACACTGAAATATATATAATATTAAATCTTATAAAAAAATATAAGATTGCATTTCTTTAAAACAAGAATCCACTCACATAATTCAAGAGAGAGCCATATATACAGGGTCACAGGAAAGAAACCAGGGAGAAGAAGAAAACAAAATTGAATGGAGGCCTTGTAAGAAGTTTAGAGTTTAACAAATGGAGGGGTTGAGGAGGGGAATAAACAGCAAGGGCATGCAGTTGTATTATTTCTAAGATTGAAAAGTATTTTTATAATGGTGTCTATTACAGTAACTAACACATTGTAATATAATACAAAATATTATATTGTCTTCCCCACCCTCTGGGGGAGATGGGTGGCATATTAAATAAGTAAGTAAGTAAGTAAGTAAGTAAATAAATAAATTAATAAATAAATAAATTTACTGCATCAAATTGTTGTCAGGTTGAGGCCTTAAAAAAAAAAACCACAAGAAGATAAACCAAATTTAAAAACTTTAATGAATTAAACATGAAAAATAGCTATCACTGAAAAACAGCAGCATAAAGATGTCATGTGTGCCTTTTTGGGAAAGATTTCCACAGCTAGAGAACCAATATGGGACCCCAAGACAAAAATCATATGGAGTTGAGCAAAGAACTTCTACCCCTTCTGAAAATAGCTATCCAATTGTGAAGGAAAACACTGTTCAATACACCAACTATTCAAAACTTAGGCAATCAATCCAGACAGATACTAGGATCAACAGTATTGAAAACCATTAAAAGGTAAAAAAAGAATCAACAGATTGAATTCTCCATTTCTCACCCAGAAAAGGGATGACCAAGACCACTGGAGAGTCAAAATGAGAACAAAATCCCAACTGATACAGTTTTAGAAAATCTGTTTCATCCAAGATGGTTTGGATCTGACTATCTACCACCCATTCAAAGAACCTTGCGAAGAAAGAAAATATTGACCACCAGTTCATAACTATTCAGATATTTGAGCCCATTAACCTTACAGAGAGAGGGTAAAATATAAATGCATTTATAACCGCTGTCAAAAAGATCGGAAACTGCTTCTTTATAATCTTTTCTTTTTTTCCCGTTCCCTTTCTTTTTCTTTTCTATTTCCTTTCCTTTTTCTGTTTTCTTTCTTATTTATTCAATATTCTTTCTTATTTCTTCGTGTCTTTTTAAATATTTATATTTATCTTGTTAAAAATTTCTTCAATAAAAATTATATTTAAAAAAAAATATCTGAGCCCATTGATTTTTTTTAGAAGTAAAATCAGTATTATGAATCACTTTAATATTAAAAGATTATAAGAGCCTGATGTAAAATGAGAGTACAAAATGAGGTTTTATATGGAATTGTTCTAAAGAAATTCTGGGCAATTGGTTGGGTTTCCTGGGGATTTGGTTTCCTGAAGAAAAGGCCATTTCTCAATTAAAGAACAGAAAAGAAGCAGAATCCCTGAAGGGAGCAGGTTTTTTAAATGATACAAGGAGAATTCTCCCACAGAGAACAGACTTCTCTTTTCCCAAATCATGTTCCACTATTGGGAATGATCCAGGATGAGCTCTCTTTGGACCAATTCAGTGAAGAATGGATTATTTATTGAGCATCAGAAGCAAGCTGGCTGTGTCTACACAGCCATATTAATAATGGTGGACAGAAATGTTTTTGTTTCTATTTCAGTAAATATTTATGTAATATTTACTCATAATTAAAATTCAAACACATTAGAAAACCTCCAGCAATACAAAATCAATTCCTTCCAAAACAAAAATAAAAACTTGGAGGTCTGATCATCTGTTCTTTTGCAAGCAAAAGAGTAATTAAAAGAATAGAAAAATGGTTTCTATTAAGGTTAGGTGGTGCTTTGGAAAAAATTGAGGAACAATATTCCAGAGCACACAGTTGCAGCACCTATCTGCAACTCAATCTTTTTTTATTGTTATTATTTTGGGCATAGACCAGCATAGAACTAATAACATAACAATTATGCTAAAATTGAAATAAAAATAAAAACTCATATTGATAGAATAAAATAAGTTAAAGATAAAATTATTAACGTAAAATTACAAAGTACAGGGATTAAAACATGAAAGAATCCTATAAATTATAATTAATTTTACAAGGAATAATCTCAATGCTATAAATAACTATTTAAAAAAGTATGAGAATGTAAAGGTATGCTAACTTATATGAAGTCTAATGCTTGCTGAAGCCCTGCTAGGGTTTATTAGGATTAAGACCATTATGATCCAACCTATTATAACAAAGAAATAGGAAAATAAAATATAGAATGGTATGTGTATATTTAAAAGGAGAAGAGAAAAAAAAAACAGGGGGTGGAGAAAGGAAAAAAGAGAAAATATATTGAGTTATGGAAGCCTAGTTAAGCTTAGCTCAGCATCATCTCACTTGGAGTAGTTGTTTATGTCTGATCATAGCTCTGATGCAAAACCGGGCTACGTTGTCTGAGATCCCCGCCGCCTGGTCAGCTAGCAAGAGACTAAGATAATCAGCCTCTGGCCTGCCCAGCTATTGTATTATACGTGGGGAAATATACATATCTCACAGGTTTCTATAAAAAAGGCAACACAGCAAAACATGACCCACAGTTTCAATTTCCCCTTCACTTGCAAGGAGAGAGCCACAGCTCTTTTGGTATGTTGTAGCACCTTCCCTCCAAAAGGGCAAAGGGGAGGTCATTACAGCAAGCAAGAGTGAAAGCTTTTCTGGTGTTTTAGGGGACAGTATTATAGAGATAATGTGCAGTTCACTGAATTAATATATGGTGAAGTCTGGCTAAGATCATTTTGCAGGGCCATATCTCCAGCATGTTGCTTGAAAAATGCTTTGGCCTGATCAAACCCCATTGGAATCAATGCATCGAGGAGAATCCACAGTGGCTTAGGGTGACACCAAGTAATTTTCATCAAGAAGTCTGGAATTTGTCTTTAAGAGTCAAAAAAGCCAAACAACCTGGGTTGAAAATTAGTTTGAGCCAGTAACTAATGTGCTATTTGGGCATATGTTTTAATTGGAACCATTCCAACTTCGGCCCAAAGGGTTGAGTTAGGAACACAATGAGGACCCAAACACGGGTTCCTTAGGAACTTGATTGTTCAGCTTCTAATGCTTCTAGGTTCTTATATGCACATATTTGGAACCCTAAGGGCAGCTGTGATATTATTTTGACCTCTATCTGCAACTCCTTAAAGAAGCTGCATCTTTTACTTAGTTTATTTGTTTAGATTTTTCTTTATCCCACCTTTATTATTTTTATAAATAACTCAAGGCAGCGAACATACCTAATACTTCTTCCTCCTCCTATTTTCCCCACAACAACCCTGTGAGGTGAATTGGACTGAGAGTGACTGGTCCAGAGTCACCCACCTGGCTTTCATGCCTAAGGCAGGATTAGAACTCACAGTCTCCTGCTTTCTAGCCAGGTGCCTTAACCACTAGACCAAACTGGCTTTTCCTGGAATCACGTGGCTGCCCTCTGCAGCTTCCATGGGATCCCAATAAAAGACACACCTGCTTTAAAGAGTTGCAGACTGATATTACATTCACACCCTCACATGTTCTGAAGCCCATCTTTGGAACTGAATCTGAAGTGTTGCATATCCCTAGCTTCCATAGACTTGGTGATTACAGAGATATACACAAGAATAGCAGAATAATTTAACTCCACTCAGTGATCTGAGTGAAATACGATACTGAGAGTGTTCTCTGCATGAAGAAAGAACCACAATTTTCACCCTGGTTGGCCTGAGCTGGCAAGGCTATAGAAATGGCAGGAGATCTACCAAATAGCTCTATATCAAATCTCATTTACAATTCCACTACTGTATAAATTTAATTTAATCTTTTAAAAATTCTAATAGATTAACATGGTCTTATCAGCATTCAGGATGTGCATAATGTTATGGTGTCAGTTAGTAAAAATAACACAAAAACCACAGGTGTAAAAAAATTCTCAAGCTCATAACAATTTACACAAGGTATTGTGTGTAATCATCTTAAGAGGCAGCAGCAGAAAGAGATGAAAAGCAACCATTCCATTAGTCCTCTCCCTGAACTGTGTGCAGCTGATCATTAAGAACTGCTATTTTATTTTTAGGATTAGTACTTGAATTTTTTTTTTCATCTTCCCTCCCCATCTCCTTTTCCTTCTGTGACAGATCATTTAGATTGTAAGCCTGCTGTAGACTGTAAGCCTGTATATAAGCTCCTCTAAAAGCTTTTTAGATAGAGATAAAAATGCAATCAGTTAAATTAGGCTTCAGGTCATATGTGCTGAGAATAATATTTATCTGTCTCTGTCTGTCTTTCCTTGCTGCAGTATATGGAATTGTCAGAACTAATAAAAGGGAAAAATCCGTTTCTTTTTCTTTTCTCCAAACCTTTCCCTACTGTATATCTCTAAAATACCCAGGTTCAAAGAGGGCTTCCAGAACACGGCCACACAGCCCGGAAGACCCACACCAGCCATCAAAGAGGGCTCTTTGCCTATCCAGGACAGCAGTTCAGAAGCTGGTCCATTCCAGATTATGCAGCCCAAGACATCTGAAAGAAACCAGTCTGGGACAAGCTGATCTAGCTCAATGTTATTTACTTTGAATGGTAGGAGCTTTCCAAGGTCCCTGGCAAAGGTTTCTCATCCCTTTAGCACAGCGTTAGAGGAATGCCACAGGAGGGTTGGTTGGTTGGCTTGGTTTTTTTTTTTTTTTAAGTACCATTTCTTTCTTCCCCCTCATGAAATTCTGTCTTTCCCATAAGACCTGAATACTACTGTCTTCTTGATGCAGATGTATTTTTTTTCAAGCAATGTGTAAGTGGGAAACAAAGAGTCATTTTTCTAAATTCCAATGGATTTTCTTTCTTTTTTTTTAAGAGAGAAGACTTTGACCTGAATTCTATCAAGAAAGTCAAATTGAACCTGTTGTCCTCTAGAGGGACTGGACTTCATATCCCATCAGCAATGTAGGCTAACAGTTCTGAAGGGATCAGGTCTGAGAACAATAGGATCAGGGTGGAGAAGCTGTGGCCATTCAGATGTTCCTCAATTTCCTGCAGGTTCAGTTCCAAGACTGTGGTGAGGATACTGAGAATTACTCTTAAGCAACATCTGAAGGACATGGGATTCCCATCTCGGCTGACATTCAACAGTTGTTGTAAACAGATACTAGGGGCTTAAACATTAGGTGATTGTCAACGTCTGTGCACAAGTCACAAGATTTGGTTTGGTGCCTGATCCAGTAATTTGGAAAATGCATTCCATTGACCAGAGCAAGATTTGTGCTTCCCATCCTCAAGCCTGAAATCTTGTGCTTCCCATCTCCTTCATAAGATTATATAACCTTTTCTGGGTTTCTGAAAAACAGAACTGCAGAACATTTTTCTGAGGGGATGAACACTGCCAGTTTTTAGAGAAGCAGATTAATGAGGTTTGGAGCTACACTCCTTATGCATGCATGCACGTATGTATGTGTTTAAAAGTTTGCAATAAGATTGTGTAAAGCTTTTAATTCAGTTACAAAAAGACATTTTGGAATGCATAAAAAGTGCAAATGTAGCATCTTCTCACAATTCTTTAAACCTGCCATGTCTATTCCTGTTCAGAATTGCTGAGAAGGTGAGGGATTAGATTGTTGGTAAGAAAATCACAGAAGTCTTTACTAACCTATTCTAAACATATTTGTACCAAATCATCATTCCACTTCAAATTTACCCCTGTTTCTGAAGAGGGTACAACTTCAGAGTTGAGCAATCAAAAAGGAAAAGAAGAATTCTCTTCACAGTTTGGAGAGAAGTAAAGATAATTTTTTGCTGACCACAGACTTTTTCTTTTAATATAAAATAATGCTCCCAAGCATTATTGTATTAATGGCCCCATATTTTTATGATAACCTGATTTTTCAGTTTATTTATACATACATATATACAGTAAGTGCAGTAATTTGCCTGAGTTCTTTGATTCCATTATAAGGAAGGTTTTATTGCTGAAGAATTTAACTACTTGTGAAGAAAGCAGCTTTTGTCTGACAACACTGCTCAGAGTAACTTATTGAATAAGATGGGTGATGATTAAATTTGGAATATAAATAAATAAATAAACACAGTGGTGCCTGAGAATCCAAATAGTCTAATAATGCAGTGTAATGTATAAAGGACATCTGTAAGATTGTGTTCACTAGTTCTATCTTTATAATGTGGGAATAGGTTCTGCACAGATTCAGTAATGATTAGTGTTGAACTTTGTTGAGTTTCAGGTGCAGGATACCCTTTGCCCAGACATTTGAAATCTATTTTACATTATTCTTCTAACAAAATGTGGAGTCACTGCTAGGATGCTGGGAGAATGTATGGGATCATACCACTGGCAGAAATGCATCACCTTATATATTGCTGGTGATCTCGTCTATAAGCTTAAACTCTTCTGCATCCCTTTTTAAGGGAGCTTTATAAAATGATAAAGTTTGTTAATATGGCTCAAGATGTAAAGTTTCAGACTCAACGCGTATTACGTGACTAATTTGTGGAAAATTAAAACATATCAGTGGTCACCTATCTTCTCCCACTGTTTGTAATAAGCAATGTTGGAAGTGGTGAAAGTCAGAGTTGTACTGCAAGAACTAAATTCAAATCTCTGCACCCATGAAAATCACTGTGAATTTCAGCCAGTCATTAACCATCTGCCATATGGAGGCATTGAAGATAAACTTGTCATGGGAGGGAGAATAAACCAGGGCATTTACTGATGTTACTAATTTATTGGCTGAATGACCAAAAAAGAATCAGGGTATCCACCCTCTGCCCTGCAGGTGTGGGCATCCTTGGGCCCTCCAGAAATGGCTGAACTTCAGTTCTTAGTAGTTCTAACTAGCAGGATCAGTGGCAAAAAGTGCTGGGAATTGTAGTTCAGCCATATATGGAAGGTCACTGGTTTCCCTTCCCTTGAGGAGCACAGGTTTACAATATGGTGGATAGTATAAATGTGATCACACAGTTTAAAAATTATAATGCATGTATCTAACACATGTATGTAATTGTTCTATGAGAAAAAAATCATGTACAATCCATTTGTTATATAAAGAAGGGATTTTTCTTTGGGTATACCTGAAATATATTATTTGGAATGGTGCACAGATTGGGTGTAATTCAGATCTACAGCAGATTTTCACAAAATTACTATGTTCATTTCAGAGCCTATGGTGTGGGAGTGCAGTGAAGACTAAAAAACTTGGGGTAAACAAGTTTTCAAGACAAGCAGTCTGTTTCTCTTGGGAAGTTAAGCAGTCACCTAAAATCAGTTCAGACAGTTGCAATGGCTTTTCATAAATAAATTCAAGTTGTAAGCCAGCTGCTTGTGAAATCCATGATTTCAAAATCTCATTAGGCATTTCATCTTAAACCGCGTGCACACACACACACACACACACTCAGCTGGTAAAGAATTATTTAAGTCTCACATCTTAAATCCTGTACCTCCAAGGAGTTCAAGGCACACACAATTCTTTTTGAATTACCCCAATTGATGTGTCAGAATGAGTAATAAAATTAGGAGATGAATG